CACTTTTTCTTTTCTTTTCAAAATTACCATAAAAGGAAATTTTTAAGAAAAAAAGGATCTGCGGGAAAGAGTTTTTTTTTGTTTATAAAACTTTATATATATATTTCATAAATATAATATAATAAGTAATGTAAAAAAAATATTTGATAAAATAAAATATAAAAGGATTTCAAGTTTGAATTAAATCTAATAATAAAAATTTAAATAAGATATTAAAGTGATGAGATTTTTTTTATTAATAATTATAAATATAAGAAATATTTACAATTAAATTCATTAATATCTTTGATTAATATATGTTAAGTAATATAGTTTATATACTTAAAATTGTTTCAAGTATAAATAAGATATAAGTTGTTTATTAATAGTATCAATAACTTTAATATAATTAGATTTCATAATTTTTAATAAAAAAAAATAATATTTTTTAAATTTAATTTAAAATTCAATTTAAATTTTATATTTTTGAAAATATTTTTCAAATTGTTTTAAGAATAATAAAAATATTATATTAATTAGAAAATTAAAAAAGATTATTTAAATAAAAAAATTAATGAATACATAAAGTTTATTGATATAATATAATATTTATATAAATCTTAATTCAAAATCAAAAATAATTCTTAAATTACAAATATTTTCTTTATATTATTCATAGCATATTCTATTTTTGGTAATTTTTGTATTGTAAGAATATTGTAAAGAAAGTTAAATTGGCAATTACGTAATGTTAAAAACAGGTATCTGATCTAGATTTGCGTGCGAAAATTCAGTTTCATTAGGAGATTACAATGTCGATCATTTTATATTTAATGTTTTCTCAACTTCTCGTTTTTTCTTCCTCACCACAATGACCATCCAACAACTTGTTGAATATGGAACGCGCCATATTTCCCGTGGAATAAGCAGATCATCGAATTTGATAATCGATAAAGCGAAGGGTTCATGGATTTGGACAATCGAAGGAAAAAAGTATTTGGATCTTTCGACGGGTATAGGCGTGCTTTCAACAGGTAATAACTATAATAATGGCCTTAATATTTTGTACCCAATTATTCTGTAATTGAAATCGGTTAATTTCAAAGGTCATTGCCATCCAAAAGTTGTAAAGGCCGTACAAGAACAGACTGCTAAATTAAATCATGCCCAGGTAGGATTGATCGAGCGGAACAGGATTTACCGTCGTTGCATTAAGCATTAACTTAGAGTTTATAACTTAGGTCAACATTGTCTTTCACAAACCTATGCTGGATCTCATCAAAAAACTTAGGCCAGTAATACCCTCTTCAAATCTTGACACATTTTTCTTTTGGAACTCTGGTTCCGAAGCCGTCGAAGCATCAATAAAATTGGCAAGGCAAGCGACCGGAAAACAGAACATAATTGTTTTTCAAGGTCAGAGAATATTATTAATGAATTGAAAATAAATGATATCTATTGTAAATCAATTGGCTGACGATTAATCTTATTAATGGTAATCTTTAAACTAATGACTATTGGAAAATTAGGATCGTTTCACGGGCGAACTATTGGTACGATGTCTCTTACCACATCTAAAACTATATATAAAGTTGGATTTGGACCGTTAATGGTAATTATTAGTACATGTATATTTTATGCAGTTAACCGTGGTATCTTATATTAAAGAATAATAATTATGAACAGCCTGGAGTTCACGTTGCGCCATATCCATATTGTTTTAGATGCCCAGTACACCAGGCGACACCTGATAAATATCACCTGAACAATTGTTGCAATGACCCAATTGATCAAGTAGAACTATTATTAAAACAACAAACTGCACCAAAAGATACCGCAGCAATATTGATAGAAACTGTGTTGGGAGAAGGAGGCTACGTTCCACCACCAAAGAATTTCTTTCCAAGACTAAAAGAAATCTGCAATAAAAATGACATCCTGCTTATTGTTGATGAAGTTCAAAGTGGATTTGGTAGGACGGGCAAAATGTTTGCGATCGAACATTATGGAGTCGAACCAGACGTTATAGTTATGGCCAAGGGAATTGCAAGTGGGTTTCCATTAAGTGGAATTGTTTCGAGAAAAGAGTTAATGGATAAACAAATACCTGGAAGTATGGTTCGTATTTCGGGAAAATAATCTTTAAGTTCGGCAAGTCGAAATTTTCAAAATTTGAATAAATCACAAACCAACTCCATAATTCAGGGAGGCACTTATTCTGGCAACGCAGTATCATGTGCTGCAGCAATTGCAACATTAGAGATCTTTGAAGAAGAAAAACTGTTAGATAATGTTAATGCCAGGTTAGTAATTACGCCTTAAATGGATTATACTCGAATATGATCGATCTCATTGTAAGACTGAATAAATTAACTCATCAAATAGATCATCTCAACTATTCTCCTTACTCGATAAAAAACTTAAACCTATTCTTCCCCAAGAAGTCGGTGTAAACATTCGTGGTTTAGGGTTGATGATTGGCATAGAATTTACCGGTGTACCTTATGGATTTGCAGCGTCAGTCGCAAAAGAATCGCTTGAACAGAACTTGATTATACTGACCGCAAGTATTTATGAAACTTTGAGGCTAATTCCACCATTAAACATTACTGAAGAAGAGATTGATGATGGCGTGGAAAGGCTATGTAAAGCTTTAAGTGCGGTTGTGGAAAGACTTGTTAAGGAAGGAAAACTTTAGATATTTAATTATTCACTATGATCTTTAATAAATTTCTTCGAAAAATTTCAAAATATATGCATTCGTTTGTAATATAAATTGCAAAGTGAATTTATTTTATAAGCTCATGAGATTTAGATTTACAACGCGAAATAAAAGACTAATAATTATAATTAAAATGTTTCCATCTTCTCATATATGTAAGATCAATTCTAGCATTTATGATTCTGCTTCTTAACAACCAATCCATGCTAAATTTACTTTCCCTACACCATAAATTTGCTCATCGCCAGTCGCTTTTTCAACATGTTTTATTACTTTAACAATCTTTCCTATTACTTTATTTACTTCTTTGCACAAAGTCATTTTAATGCTCCAGGGATAAATTTCAAATGGCTCTCTTTTTGCTTCCAATGTTATTAGCAAAATATTATTTTCCACTAAAACTTTTGGATTGTAACCCGTAAGACTTTGGTGCTTTAGTAGACTGTTGTGAAGCGTAGAGATAATATATGGAGGTATGAGTGAGTGAAAAAGTTTGCATGTATTGGAAAGGTAAAAGTGAAGATCATGAAGTGGAAGGTAGTCGAAGATCAAGGGGTAAAGTTCTATTGGAAGTGAAATTAGAGTTGGAGGTTGGAGTGTGGACATGTTTGTCAGTGCATTCTACGATTATCGGATTGACATAAATAATGTCTGTACGTGATTAATCGGCAGTCCTAATATCAAGTGATAATATTACTTCTAAAGTAATTTTATAGCCTATTTTCTTCACTACACTTGTTTTTTTATTTGCAATTATGCCATCTTGGCGTGTCTTTATTAAGATATCAATTAAACAAAATTAATTTTCAATTAGGTACTCTAAGTCAGATTTAGAGTACAATATTATACTCCTTTATTAGTTTGATACTTAATTTTTAATTATCAGGATCATTGCAATAGTTTGTCACTATTGATTTTTCAAGAAATAACAAATTGTTAAACTAGAGAAAGAAAAGAAAGAAAACAATTCAAAGTTCTTTTAGCTTTATAATGTTTGAGAAACTCATTTCTCTACTAATATATAAATTTGTTCATTACATCATTGATATTAGCACTATATTATAAAAAATTTGTTTAATTAAAATAAAAAAATCTTTTTAAAAATTTTGCTTAATTGAAATAAAAAAATTTTTTTAAGAATTTTACTTAATTGAAATGAAAACTTGAAATCTTGATTCTATTTAGTAAAGTTTTTTTATTATCTAAAAAACTTATATTAAATTTTTTTAATTTATAATTATTTTTATTAATGATTAACTAATTTTTTTTTTTGTATATCCATAGCCAGACTAGATTGTTAATTTATTAATCAATTGAAAAAATAAGTACATTTTCATTCGAGCAGCATGATTAATATTATAGTTAAACTATTATTCTAATCTAACTAACTTGTCGGAAGCATAATAGTCTCTAAGTTTGACTTGGAAACAATATTTTACTCCATAATGTCTTTGGATAAAGACTCTTCTAGTCCACTGCATCATTGCCAGCAGATTGTCACTACTATATGTCAATCTAAGCTGCTGGAATATAGAAAACTACAAAAAGATAAATTGAAAAAAAGGATAAGGAATATCTAAAAATGTTTGTTTAAGTAAACAATAAGAAAATGAAAATATAAAAATCAAAAAAAATTATTTTCAGCTTTCTCCAAAGACTTGCTTCTCAAGATCTCTTCTCAATAAGAAATACCTGATTGGAATATCCTTTCTTTTTCTGACCGTCTGAGAAACTTATTCATTCTTAATCTTGATTTCCTTCTATATATTGTTTAAGAAAACTTATCACTTAATGAAAGCCTTTACTTCCAGAAAACACTTGGTCCCAACCTTCTTTGAGTAGAGTTAGCCTTAATTATTAGTTATATTTTCTTTTAATTATTATCTATAGTGTTTATCTATCATATTACTGTAGTTCTATTGTTAGATCATGTGACACATGTGATGCAAGGTGTGTCTTATTGGTTCATAGGGTAGATCCAATCAATAGGGCAAAGTAGTGATTGATGTAGTGCGCATTATTTAATTTTATTATTTAATTTTCATATCTTATCTATATTTAGCTAGCAGGTTACCCAAGTGAACAGATCTGG